GTCATCCCCTATGCCTCAGCCATAGGTTCTATTATGTATGCCATGCTGTGTACCAGACCTGATGTTAACCTTGCCGTCAGTTTGGTAGGAAGGTACCAAAGTAATCCCGGCAAGGAACACTGGACAGCGGTCAAGAATATCCTGAGGTACCTGAAAAGGACTAAGGAAATGTTTCTCGTTTATGGAGGTGACGAAGAGCTCGTCGTAAAGGGTTACGTCGACGCTAGCTTCGACACAGATCTGGATGACTCTAAGTCACAAACCGGATACGTGTATATTTTGAATGGTGGGGCAGTAAGCTGGTGCAGTTGCAAGCAAAGCGTCGTGGCGGGATCTACATGTGAAGCGGAGTACATGGCAGCCTCGGAGGCAGCACATGAAGCAATATGGGTGAAGGAGTTCATCACCGACCTAGGAGTCATACCCAATGCGTCGGGGCCGATCAAGCTCTTCTGTGACAACACTGGAGCTATTGCACTTGCCAAGGAGCCCAGGTTTCACAAGAAGACAAGGCACATCAAGCGTCGCTTCAACTCCATTCGTGAAAATGTTCAAGATGGAGACATAGAGATTTGTAAAGTACATACGGACCTGAATGTAGCAGATCCGTTGACTAAACCTCTCCCTAGAGCAAAACATGATCAACACCAGAATTCTATGGGTGTTTGATTCATTACAATGTAACTAGATTATTGACTCTAGTGCAAGTGGGAGACTGTTGGAAATATGCCCTAGAGGCAATAATAAAAGCATTATTATTATATTTCCTTGTTCATGATAATTGTCTTTATTCATGCTATAATTGTGTTATCTGGAAATCGTAATACATGTGTGAATAACAGACATCAACATGTCCCTAGTGAGCCTCTAGTTGACTAGCTCGTTGATCAACAAATAGTCATGATTTCCTGACTATGGACACTGGATGTCATTGATAACGAGATCACATCATTAGGAGAATGATGTGATGGACAAGACCCAATCCTGAACATAGCACAAGATCGTATAGTTCGTTTGCTAGAGTTTTGCAATGTCAAAGTATCTTTTCCTTAGACCATGAGATCGTGTAACTCCCGGATACCGTAGGAGTGCTTTGGGTATGCCAAACGTCACAACGTAACTGGGTGACTATAAAGGTAGACTACGGGTATCTCCGAAAGTGTCTGTTGGGTGACATGGATCAAGACTGGGATTTGTCACTCCGTATGACGGAGAGGTATCACTGGGCCCACTCGGTAATGCATCATCATAATGAGCTCAGAGTGACCAAGTGTCTGGTCACGGGATCATGCATTACGGTACGAGTAAAGTGACTTGCCGGTAACGAGATTGAACGAGGTATTGGGATACCGACGATCGAATCTCGGGCAAGTAACATATCGATAGACAAAGGGAATAGCGTACGGGGTTGATAGAATCCTCGACATCGTGGTTCATCCGATGAGATCATCGTGGAGCATGTGGGAGCCAACATGGGTATCCAGATCCCGCTGTTGGTTATTGATCGGAGAGTCGTCTCGGTCATGTCTTCTTGTCTCCCGAACCCGTAGGGTCTACACACTTAAGGTTCGGTTACGCTAGGGTTGTAGGGATATGTATATGCAGTAACCCGAATGTTGTTCGGAGTCCCGGATGAGATCCCGGACGTCACGAGGAGTTCCGGAATGGTCCGGAGGTAAAGATTTATATATGGGAAGTCCTGTTTCGGGCATCGGGACAAGTTTCGGGGTTATCGGTATTGTACCGGGACCACCGGAAGGGTCCCGGGGGTCCACCGGGTGGGTCCACCTGTCCCGGGGGGCCACATGGGCTGTAAGGGGGTGCGCCTTGGCCTAATGGGCCAAGGGCACCAGCCCCACATAGGCCCATGCGCCTAGGGTTTAAGGGGGAAAGAGTCCTAGGAGGGTAAGGCACCTCCTAGGTGCCTTGGGGGGGGAGGGAAACCCCCCTTGGCCGCCGCACCCCCTAGGAGATTGGATCTCCTAGGGCCGGCCACCCCCCCTTGGCACCCCTATATATAGTGGGGGAGAGGAGGGACTTCATACCTGAACGCCTCGGCCTTTGGTTGCCTCCTTCTCCCTCCTCAACACCTCCTCCACCTCCATAGTGCTTAGCGAAGCTCTGCCGGAGTACTGCAGCTTCATCAACACCACGCCGTCGTGCTGCTGCTGGTGCCATCTCCCTCAACCTCTCCTCCCTCCCTTGCTGGATCAAGAAGGAGGAGACGTGGCTGTTCCGTACGTGTGTTGAACGCGGAGGTGCCGTCCGTTCGGCGCTGGTCATCGGTGATTTGGATCACGTCGAGTACAACTACATCATCACCGTTCTTTTGAACGCTTCCGCTCGCGATCTACAAAGGTATGTAGATGCATCTAATCACTCGTTGCTAGATGAACTCCTAGATGATCTTGGTGAAACGAGTAGGAAAATTTTTGTTTTCTGCAACGTTCCCCAACAGTCTGCATGACGCAATTCCCTGCCGTTGCGTGCTAGCTAATAGGCACATATCACAGTCCGCTCAGTGCCCAATTTGCTCACGATTTGCAGAAGATATAGCACATCTCTTATTTAAATGTGATAGATCACAGGAGATTTGGAGGGGGCTCGGACTGCATGAAACAATAGCCAAAGTAGCAATACCGGGTCGATCGGGTGCTGAAATCATTGAGATATTCCTATGCGATCCAGAACACAACACTAAATATATGGACCAGGTGGTCTTGCCTGAATTGATTGCGGTGGCATCATGGTATTTGTGGTGGCAGAGGAGAAGCATAACTCGGCAGGAACCAGTGCAATCTCCAACGCGGACGAGCCAGGCGATTCAAGCTCTGTCTTTGAACTTCGTACGGGCTGCATGTAAACCAACGACGATCCCGCGTCTTATTCACTGGAAAAAACCACTACTGAATCAGTTGGCCCTCAATGTCGACGCTGCGTTTTCAGAGGATACTAACTCGGGGGCATGCGGCGCCATTATCCGGGACAGGGGGGGGGGGGCTTATTTGTTGCGGCATCTACGACAAAACTTGAACATGTCGCGGATGTGGTATCGGCGGAAGCTGCAGCTCTGGTTGAAGGCTTAAAATTGGCTAATACAGTTGGGAGCAACTCCTTGTTGGTGCAAACGGATAGTCTGATTTTAGTGGAGGCTCTCCAACAAAACTCTGGGCACTCGATGGTGGCAGGCCCAATTCTTGAAGAATGCCGTTTACTGATAGTTAATTTTGGAAAGGTCGTTATTGAGCATTGTAACCGCGAATCAAATATGGTGGCTCATGTGCTAGCGCAGAATGGAAGTGTTGATCCACCAAACTTGTGGTTGGACTCACCTCCAGGTTTTATTTCTAATTATTTAGCGGACGATATAAGTGTTGTTTAATTTTAATAAAGCTAGCCATGATGGTCTTTCCCTAAAAAAACGATTAGCGATGATTAACCTCTGGGGTCAACAGCAGAAGGGTGTGGTATGCATGTGCATGTTTTTGGTAACGGAATCCATGCAGGATGGTAGATGCTGATGTGGTAGGAGGTGCTGATGTGGGTATGCTCATGTTAAGATAATTAGGTTAGTGGAGATGAATCTCTTAGGTATATAGGATTTGTTTTAAATTTATTTATTTTTGACCCGAACCAGCGGGAGCTCTACTTTTGCATTATAGAAGGGGAGAAAAGAATGTTACAATTACAAAGACTGAATGAAAAGAGGGAAACTATACATGAAAACAGGGATCAGTCACAAGGAAGGGGCCTCGTTGAAAAGGATTTTGAAAAACCCTTCTATTCCTCTCGTTCCACAAATTCCAGGCAACATAAACAGTGATGGTTATGTCCAAGCTAAGGCCATCTTTTGGGGGTGCCCATATTGAATTATTGATCCGAGACCACCACTACCGAACCGAAGTAGCAGCGAGAGCGATGCTAGCCAGACGTTGATGAGAGATCATCAGCTGAGACCAAAGTTCCTTCGCAAACGGACACTGAAGTAGACCGTGGCCCGCGGTGTCCCACCGGGAGATTCGTTCCAATTTTGATTGTGTGCATTTTGCTATGTAGTAGTAATGCAGATGCTGGGTATTCACTCATTTGCAGTTATATAAGCTTGATTTAAGTTTCAAAGAAAATATCATTAATCAGGAAAAAGAACAATTCGAGTCGTGCTTCTCTGTTTTCAGTACAGTGCCACATTGCCAACTGCGTTGAGCGTGCTTGCGCCATGCACTGTTCCATGTTCATGGTTGCCTTTGTTGATGATGAACAGTTTGAGGCCCACATCGAGCTCATTTGTGAACAGTCTCTTCAGGTATCAAGATGGACGAAGGGGGACAACAAGCCAGTGGGACAGGAGGCAGCTTGATTGTTCTTGGACCATGCATCGTTCTACGTCAATATCTTTCTGTTGACGTCGAAGAGCCCGTGACGTGCGTTGAGCTCTTCCTGCGGGTGCTGATGAATCAGCTCGTCAATATCTTTATGTCCCCTATTTTTGTTTGATGTTGAGGATCATTTGGATTAGGTTTAACCCCAAAAAAGGTAGCTTTTTTCGGGGAAGTTGTTTTAGGGAAGTAATTTCCAAAGCAATAAAAAACTGCAATGTACACAAATAATATGCTTCATTATTATTAGTCGCCTAATAATTATTCACATCTTGGTTGACACTGATGATCGTTGATCTGGCTATGAGATCCGTGCAAAAACTTCATATTTTTATGAATTATTAGAAAAAACAAAAAATCACTAAATGCATGAATTATTACATCCTGGTAAACATTATTTTACATATTTATGACATATGAAATCGATCCATCTTTCTTTCACATGCCGATCTCAAATCAATATTCAAAGAATGCACCCACGGTTTCATACCGAAATCTATAAAAAAGACTTATATTTAGGAACGGAGGGAATATCAAGGATTCACATCCATAATAGTTTAACATGATAAGATAGTACTAACTTGTATTATCATGATATGATCGACTTGCATATCATGGCTAGTTTTATATCCAGAAGGCTCGGATATCATCAAAGAGCGGATCAGCGTGACGCAGCAACTCGAAGCATCGAACCCGGCGGCGCTTGGCAGTAGTCAGTTGTCCATTCTTGTCATCCTTGAGGGTGAATGTTATGAGCTGGAGCAGATGGCGACGAGGTAGGTTCTCCTCATTCACCTTCTCCTTGTAACGGTCGCTCTCGTCGACGTCGACGTCATCTTCCTGGTAAGGGTCGCCCTCGTCGTCGTGGTCGTCGTCCTTTTCACCATACACAATAGAGAAGCACTGCAGGATGCAGAACTTGCTCCTGCCTCCCATGTAGACGAGGTCTGCACCAAGGTGCTCCTCGCCGGGGTCCCCGCACAACATCTTCTCCTTGCTGAGCCGCCACAGGGGCGCCATCTCACTGCCAGCATCGTCGGCTTCGACGGGCGGCACGTCCGAGGAGCAGAGGTGGCCGAGGGTGTCCTTGTCCCCGGAGAGGCCGACCCAGGCATCGAGCGCGGGGTCAAAGAGGGCCTGGCCTTTGAACGGCAGCTTCCACCTGCCGCGCTGCTTCCACACGGCGACGCCGTCCTCGGCGCCGGTGTCGAGGGTGAAGGTAGCGGGGGCGCCTTTGTTGACGGTGCTGACGAAGAGCGTCCGGCCGTCGGGGTGCGCCGCGTGGCAGGTGACGTCGACGCGCCGGAACGGCGGCTTGTCGGCCAGCTTGTCCCACGACCACGCGAAGCTGCTGCGCTCGGCGCTCCGGCGGGGGAGGGTAGAGGAGCTTGGTCGAGGACCCGGCGTCCACGGAGACCACGTTGCGGCCGACCGGCATGTAGATCGGGGTGTGCGGGCACGTCCGGCTGTGGGGGCGAGGGCCGAGGGTGAGGCTCCGCGAGTGCACGTCAAAGACGGGGACGGCGTGCTCCGGCCAGCCGCAGTCCGTGACCAGGATCTTGGTGCCGCTGGCGACGAAGAACTCGCCCGTCTGAGCAGGCAGGCGGATGAGGGCCTCCGGCAGGGGCGACCACGCGGCGCCCACCGTCTCGATCTCCCCGTCCTCGTGCCGCGCCGCGTCGTCGTCGGACTCGTATTCCGATGACAGGTCCATCTTTCGGATGGCGTACCCGTCCCCGTCGTCGACCACGAAGTAAAGGTGGCGGCGCTGGCGCTGACGCTTGGCCTTCCGGCCGACGCCCAGCACGTCGGAGTGGCGCTTCGACGACATCGATCGTCCCTGGTGTTTCTCCTCTTCGCTCCCTTGTTTTCCTACCGAATACTACTCAGATCCGATTCGTTCCTTCTGTTATTATGCCTTCTCTTATCCTTGTATAAAACGATCCGCATGAAATTGGAATCCAATCCAGATTGAAACTGCCATCCAGCAAACACGATCCATCATTAAATAGATCCATATCGATCGGCCAAATCACGATGGTAACTTCGCCGACGGACATGAAAGGCTCCTCCCTCCCCGTCGTCCCCGACTACGTCATCATGGACATCCTCGCGCGGTTGCCGGCCAAGTTGGCGGGCTGGTGCCGGTGCCTCTCCCGCGGCTGGGCCACCACGCTCTCCTCAGACGACTTCGCCGATCGCCACCACCGCCTCGCCAACCACCGCCACAGCCCTAGGGTGTTCTTCTTGCATCACTCGTCCCGCGACGGACCGCTGAATCGCTGATGCACGTCTGGTCGCAGCAGGACAACCCTAACGGTGCACCATCCACCTTGCTTTCTCCAAAAGCTGCCAATGCCAAAAGGCCCTTACGAGTCGCCACACCGGAGTGCCATGGCCTCGCCGTCTTTCAAACACTCGGCACACGCATCAACTATCTGTGCAACCCGTCAACTGGTCAGATGGCGACACTCCCAGAGCCCCAGAACAAGTCATGGTACCGGGACAATTTTCCAGTGGACACTATGTAAGTCTAGGGCTTGGCTATGACGCACATACGAAGATACATACAGTTGTGCGGATCCACTATCAGGGCCTGGGATGTGATCATGAGGGTCTCCCATGGTCCGTGGAATGCGATCTCTATGTTGTCAATTCGATTGGGCGCTGGCGGCCGATCCATGAGAGGCCGCCGGCTTGGGTAAAACCTGATCGGCCAAGTGTCTTTGCACAAGGACACATATATTGGTTAGCCGAACAGAAAATCGACATCATACCTGCTGAGATGGTCATTGTATCATTCTCTCTCGCTGACCATACGTTTGGGACTCTGCCACCGCCACTTGGTATGGACAAGGACATACAACACCAGTTGACAAAGCTCGACCAACACTTATGCTTCATTTCCCATAATCGTTTGAGCTCGTGTTACGAAATTTGGCTGCTTCCCGAACATGGTGCACACATGTGGAATTTGTATTGTCGAATGGACATGAAAAAGGTGTCACTGGATTTGACCAACCCGTTTTTGAAATGGATATACCCACTGGCCACTATCAGCAATGGTAGTCACATCCTCCTCGCACGACCCTGCTTGTTGGCCCATGTGAACAACTACTCCCGATTGTGTGCATACAACCTAGCAACCGGTGACGTTGAGGACATCTTTAGTGAAAGCAGCATGGTCTGCGACGGCATCATATGCTCGATGGATGCCACACTGTATGACGAAAGCATCATTTCGCCTAGGTGACGTGGCCTGGTTGCGACCTATGACAGACTAGGTAGGTCTCTTGAGTTGATGGTATAGGGAGGTAGCTGGTTTTGCTTGTAAAGTAATGGAGCGTGTATGTAATGGGGCCATTACTCGCTTCGTTAGGCCTTGTTCGGTTACACCCCTCTACAAGAGGATTGGAGCTTATGGAAGGTCCAATACAGATGTAAAACTAGATGGAAGCGTTGAACTCTTTGCTTGGGCGCGGTTGTATATATATGATGGGTGCCGTGGCTTACAAGAATAGATCGAGAGGAGATAGATCACATTCGGTACAGGAGGTTTGAGGAGATAGATCAGAAGAAGAGATAAGAAGAGATACAAGTTAAACACCTTTCCTTTCCCTATACAACATCTTCTAACACTCCCCCTCAATCTAAACCTCAAGGAACTTTTGCAAGGTTAAGATTGTACTTGAACTCGTCCAATCTCCTCATGGTGAGAGGTTTTGTGAAGCCATCAGCAAGTTGATCTCCACTAGGTACAAACCGAATATCAAGGAGCTTTCGAGCTACCCTTTCTCTGACAAAGTGGAAATCAACTTCAATATGTTTAGTGCGTGCATGAAAAACAGGATTGGCTGAAAGATAGGTTGCACCAATATTATCACATCATAATCTTGCAGCTTGTGGAGCCTTGATTCCAAGTTCATAAAGCAAAGTCTGTATCCACATTACTTCAGCTGTAGCATTTGCCAAGGCTTTATATTCAGTCTCTGTACTTGATCGTGAGACAGTAGCCTGTTTTCATGCACTCCAGGATATAAGATTAGTTCCCAGAAACACAGCAAAACCACCTGTGGATCTTCTATCATCAGCACACCCAGCCCAGTCTGCATCAGAATAAGCAGTAACAAGCAGAGATGGAGATTTGGTAATTTGAAGTCCAAGTCCTTCAGAAAACTTAAGATACCTTAAAATCCGTTTGACTGCAGTCCAGTGAGTTGTTCTAGGTGCATGTAAATACTGACATACCTTATTCACAGAATAAGAAATATCAGGACGTGTAAGAGTCAAATATTGCAAAGCACCCACAACACTTATGTAATTAGTTGCATCCTCTGGTCCAAGAGCTTCTCCACTTTCAAGAGTAAGTTTCTCAGAAGTTGAAATTGGTGTGCTTACAGGCTTACAATGTTGCAGTCCTACTCTTCTGAGTATGTCAGTAGTATTTTTTTCCTGAGTAAGAAGAATACCATCCTTAACCTGCTTGACCTCTATGCCAAGGAAATAGTGAAGATCTCCCAAATCCTTGAGAGCAAACTCCAATTTAAGATCTTTAAGCAAACAAGTGGTAGCATCTGGACTTGAACTTGCAACAATTATATCATCAACATAAACAAGTATAAATATAGTAATATTACCCTTATGATAAAAGAACAATGAAGTATCTGCTTTTGATGGTGTAAACCCAAGTTGTTGTAACTGCATGCTCAACCTTGAGTACCAAGCTCTTGGGGCCTGTTTCAAACCATACAGAGCTTTATCCAACTTACATACATGATTTGGCATGCTTTGACTCTCATATCCAGGTGGCTGCCGCATGAACACTTCTTCCTCAAGAACACCATGAAGAAACGCGTTCTGAACATCTAGCTGTCGTAAACTCCACCCTCTGGAAATAGCAATAGACAATACAAGTCGAATGGTAGCTGCCTTAACAATAGGACTAAATGTATCTTCATAATCAATACCAAATCTCTGTTTAAACCCTTTGGCAACTAACCTAGCCTTGTATCTGTCTATGCTTCCATCAGATTTTCTTTTTATCTTATAGACCCATTTGCAATCTATGACATTGATGCCCTTCCTTGAGGGTACTAAGTGCCAAGTTCTATTTTTCATGAGCGCATCATATTCATTATCCATAGCTGCCTTCCATTCTTTGTGATCTAGAGCATCATGCAAATTAACTGGTTCTCCAACACTAGTAAGAAAAGCACGTTTGACACGATCATAACGTACCGTACCATCATTGTACTCTTTATTTTTGACGATACCTGACTGTGATCGAGTGTGTCGACGAGGAGCCTGAGAACAAACTGCTGATGTAGGCACAGAAGATCCAGGAGCATTTGGAGCAGAATTATCCACAGAAGATCCCGGCCCCAGATCCAAGGAGGATTCTGCACCTGCTTCTGATCCTGTCGGCACAGGCGCAGGCGATCTTCTATCGCCAGGCGAATCGGCCATCGCATCCCGCGCCTCGTTGTCCTGCGGACAAGTGGCGCGCAGTCCGCCCGCGCCTGGGCTGGCGGGGTCCACCTGGTGGGGGCTGTCGGCCACGCGCGTGCGTGCACCCGCGCCTGGGCTGGCGGCCTCAGCCAACCGCGCATCGGTACAGGCAGGGTCCACCCGGTCGGCCACTGGCGTGCGAGGAGATGCATGCAGGGGAGGGCTATCCTCCTGGGATCACGCGCCGTCAGGTGCAGCAGCGCTGACGTGCGAATCTGCATGGGATCCGACGCCACTGCCAGCCGAATCAGTGTTGGATCCTGTGTCGTTTTTGTCTGGACCTGCACACATAAAATGACGGCCAGAATCTGCAGAAAAACAATTTTCTGTGGAATTTTTCACATGATCAGCTTTAGTTAATTCACCCCCGTGATCAGGAAGAAGGGCTATTTCAGCACAAAGGAGAGCGCCTGCATTTGGATGAAGCTTGGCGAATGGAAAGAGATTTTTATCAAAAACAACATCTCTAGAAATATAAATACGTCCAGTAGCAATTTCTAGGCACTTGTAGCCTTTGTGGAGATTGCTATAGCCAAGAAAAATGCATTGAGTAGAACGAAACTCAAGCTTATGATGATTGTATGGACGAAGATTGGGATATCATGCACACCCAAAAGTTTTGAAGGAATTATAGTCTGGTTTTTGATGATAAAGACGTTCCAACGGAGTAGAATTTCCAATAACTTTGCTAGGCAAACGATTAATAAGATATGTGGCAGTGATGAAAGCTTCATCCCAATACTTAAGAGGCATGGAGGCATGAGCAAGTAGAGAGAGGCCAACTTCAACAATGTGGCGATGTTTACGCTCGGCAAAGCCATTCTGTTGATGAGCATGGGGACAAGACACATGGTGTGCAATGCCTATACTACGAAAGAAGGAGTTGAGCTTCTCATACTCCCCTCCCCAGTCACTTTGGACTGTTAAGATTTTTCTGTCAAAGTGTCTTTCAACAAGTTTTTGAAACTCTTGGAATATAGAAAAGACTTCAGATTTATACTTAAGTAAATAAATCCAAGTAAACTTGCTGTAATCATCGATAAAACTGACATAATATTTTTTTCTGCCAAAGGAATCTCGGGTATGTCCCCATACATCACTGAAAATAAGCTCTAAAGGAGCATGAGAAACACTACTAGACTTAGGATAGGGAAGTTGGTGACTCTTGGCACATTGACAAGCTTCACAAACCGAATCACTAATAGGACTGTGTGACAAAGAAAGTTTGCCTTTATTGACTACTTGCTTAACTATGATCGAGGAAGGATGTCCTAAACGTTGATGCCACCTTGCCAAGGAGGGCTTGATGACGGAGTAGACCTG